GATTCTTACATAAATGGATATTGGATCTAGGTCTAGTCTTTGTATTGTTATTTCCTTCTTCCGGAACTTTTTCTCCCATCAAGAATCACCTCCTTTAGCTGATGTATTATTTCTTAGTTCTTCTTCTTGTATTGTGTGCTCTATCTTTTGAAGTTGTGTCATACATTATCTCCAATCTTTCTTCGTTTCCCGCATGGACATATAGAGATAGTGAGTGATAGTGACCGGATATGGAACTTCTAGAATACTCATGTTGGCTTAAAATAGTTGGTCTATGCGCGCTGGTGCTTATGCCTTGATGACGGCGACTGATTGAAACGGAAGAGAACTACTTTGAGAATTTTTCAACCTTGTAAACGTGCATGTAATTCACACATGGTTACTTTTTGCGGAAACCCATGGAATCGCCGGAGCAACCTATCTATTGACTGCACTGACCAGTCGAGTGGGAAAGAGTATGCTCCAAAGCACACATTCACACAGCATACAAATCGTTCAATACGTAAGAGCGTCCACAACCGGATTTGACAAATCTGATTCCTTAAACACTTGCGAACGCGACCTGGCGTGTCCGCGGACCGTGATCGTGCACGTCTCAAATTAGCCACTCTGCATTCGAGTCTCTCATATTTCAACCCATAAATCCATACAAAGCATGCAAAGAAAATCCTACATACTACATACTACCTCAGCTAATCTTCGTCGTCGGAGATGTCCACAATGTCGGTACCAGGCGCCGGGTGGACGGGCGTGTAGGAGGGCTTTGGCTCATCCTCCTCCAGCTCGACCTCATCCATGTAGGCGAGCATCTCAGCCTCCTCCGCGGCCCGTTGCGCCTCCATCTCCTCCCGGCGACGGCGTATGGACTCCACAGCCGACTCCGAGCGGAGGGAATCGAGGATGGTTTGCTACTCCGCTTGCAGATCCGCATCGTCAGCGTCCCCCACATCCTCCTCCTTCTCAACCCCCTCCTCCTTCTCCCCGCCTTTTCCTCCTCCTCCTCTGGACCCACTGCATTCGGAGGGAGTCCCGTAGTGGCCCGGGCTTTGCGCCTTGCTCGGATCTGCTCAAGGAGCTCCAGCCGGCGCTCCGATGTTAGAAATGTGTAGCTCCTCACCCGGCGGCATGGGGGGCATGGCTACTAGGCGGACGGGGAGCGGAAAGTGGCAGCGGTGGCGTACATGCGGAGGAAAATGTGGGTGATAGGGTTTCCTTGCCAGCGGTCGATGTAAATAGCAGGGCTAGGTACTACACGGCCCACCGGAATGGCGACATGCGACGACATCGGTCCGACGAAGGAGACGAGCTTCAGACCGCGGGGTTTCCGGGCGATTCCACGTGGGACCCCGCCGTCAGTCCAACGTGGCAGGTGCGTCCAGGCGCCCCCATATTCATCCCATATTTGGGCTGGATATGAGGGGTGCCAGTCAGCCTGCGTGTTGAAGGCCCGTTTGAGGCGTCCGTCTGGATCAGATTTTGGTGATCGATCGGTGACCGGGCGGGCCGTCCGGGTGTTTGAGGCGGGTTTGGGGCGCCCAGCTGTAGATGCTCTAATCAGTTTTTTAACATAGTATGGACGCAAGCGCTCATATATACACGCATACACTTATCTCTGTGAACGCGCGAACACACACACCCTACCTCTATGAGCACATATCATTTTGAGATTTTACGAAGTCGCCGTAGGCGCCTCGTAGTCAGGGGCGTCTCCTCTCATTGAATGTGCATCGCCGAAACTTCTTAAATAAATCTGGATAAATGCGAGCACCAAGACTTGAAGCCTCCTTTTTACAGGAAATATTGAGAGCTTTATTCAAATAAAAACATTTGTTGGATCATGGGCCAATAAGTTGCTCACCAGGAAGTTAGGAGTCTCTTCCAGCCAGCTCTCTGTCACAGTCAATGTGCAAGCACGCTTTGCACACAAATGAGTTGTATAGTTGGCTGACCGGATTACATCTTGAATATCAAAAGAAATAAAATTACAAGCTAGCTCTCCTATTTTAGAAAACAGGGGTGCCACAAGCGAAAGAGAATTGCGACGAGTTTTCTAGAGTTCCGAAACCTCCAGTCAATCTGTCTTCTCTTGAAAACCTCCGAGTTGTGCAAAGCACACGCCCTCCCGGTCAGATAAGACTTCAGCTATTAATGGATCAATAACACCTTCGAGGGGTTTGTACCAAGCTCCGAATAGGTGATTTCTGGATCGGGCCACACCTCCCGCTCCCCCAGTGCCATCATCCAAGTGAATGGCTGCATCAGTCTTGATTTTGATGATCATGTCATCAGAAGGCCGCCAACCATAACCCGGCAAAATTTTCAGGTGTTGCCAGGGGATCTCCAAGATGGCAAGATCTTCTTTAATACGTCGCACATAGATGGCCGGATCAATCTTTTCCTGATCATGAGTAAGACGGTTTCGAGAATGCCATATGACCCACATCACTGTGATGATAATCACCCGTTTCCCTCTCTGTGAATCTTTGGTCACATAAAATATCTTGTGACCACGTACTGAGATGCAGCCTTGGTGGTTTGAAGTCAAATAGCAAAGGGGCTTCTTCCCAGAATCGTTGTGCATGTGTAGAAGGGATAAGAGCATGAGCCAAGTCTCCATCCATCACTATCCAAATTTTGCATCTTCCGAGTTATTGTATATGCCGATGTCTCAAAGTACATTTAGACGGAATGAACCCTCTCAAGACACGCCGGTAGAAGACTCGGACCTTTGGAATCACATTCAATTTCCATAATGCATTCCACAACTCTTTTCCATCATTGGAGGATCCGGTACTCGCTCCTTCTTCAAGAGCTGAATGCTCCTTTTTTGTTCATTAGAGAACGGTACGCCGATTTGACAGTGTATACACCTGATTTTTCATGTGACCATGCCATAAAATCATCACCACCTCCCTGGTATAGTGGTATGTTCAGAATTGCTTCCGCGTCAGGGGCAATAAAAAGATCTCGCACTAACTCCGTCTTCCACGTCCAGTTGTCAATATCAATAAGTTCACCGACGAACTCGACATTCGTGTTTTCTGGTTTAAATACAGGAGTCATGGATATTGTCGACGAAATCCATCAATCCCCCCATATTGATATGGTGGATCCCACACCCATACGCTTATGAGGCCGGTATCGAGTGCCTCTCGGCCAGCCACTATAGCTCTCCATGTAGCGGATGTCGTCTTTGGGACATTGGCCAGATGGAACTCTGTATCCGCAAAATATCTCCTTTTCAACACTCAAGCACATAAGGAATTGAGATTAGTCATGAGGAGCCAGTCATGTTTCTCAAGAAGTGCGAGGTTGAAAAACCGTAGATCGTGGAAGCCCATTCCGCCTTTACATTTTGGTGTAGCTAAGTTGTCCCATGACATCCAATGCATAGACCGTCCATCAATGGAGCTACTCTAGAAATATTTTGCCATACCTGAAGTCAGGTTCTTGCAAACTTTTTTGGTCAAGTGAAAACATGATATGCTTAATGTTGGGATCGCCTGGATCACTGGTTTCAATAGTGTTTCTCTGGCAGCACAATCAAGTAGACGCTCTGACCAACCTTGCATTTTTGCGCGCGCCCGTTCACCAATATGGGTGAAGGTGCCGCTGGTGATCCTACCTATTGACGTAGGCAGACCAAGGTAACGCTCGCCAAAGGCCTCAACCTGTACACCAAGCACTTGTTTAACCCTCACACGTGTATGTTGGGGAGTATTAGGATTGAAAAATATTCAACTTTTGTCTCAATTTACACCGTCCAGAGGCCTCCCCATAGATGCTAAGAATTTCATTGAGTTTAGTTGCACTTTGATTGTTGGCTTGTATAAAAATTAGGCAATCATCACTAAACAATAAGTGGCTCACCCATGGTGATCTGAAAGTCACTCGAATGCCTCTATCAATATATCCGTCATATGAGGTCAGCAAAGATGAAAGTCCTCCTGCACACAGAAGAAATGGGAACGGTGATATGGGGCATCCCTGACACATACCGCGAGATGAGGTAAAATATGGGAGGAGTTCACCATTCGCTCTAACCGTGAACCATACTGAAGTAACACACTTCAATATTGGTCAAACAAAGTTGATGCTAAAGCCAATTTTTAAGAGAATGGACTCCAGGTAGTGTCATTCCACCCGATCGTGATTGTAAGATTTCATCATATCGAGCTTTACAACGCACGTCCCTTTCTTCCTTCTCTTCATGGTATGAGCAGTTTCATAAGCAAACCTGATAATGACACCCAGGAGTTGAACTCTGATAAGATGAAGATACCATTTTCACCTAACCATCCAACCACTGGTTGGTTCGCACGCGTAATCAGCCTTTTTTTAACATAGTACAGACGCAAGCGCTATAAACGCACACATGCACACCCTATCCCTATGAGCACCTACGAGAGACTAAGCCGGCATTTCATCTTAAGACTTTACAAAGTCACCGTAGGCGCCTCGTAGTCGACGGGAACGTCTCCTCCCACTAAAAGTGTATCTTCATAAATCATGAAATAAATCAAGAATAAATACGAGCACTAGGACTTGAAGCCTGATGAACTGATAATATCATTGTCCACCTAACTGTCCCAACCATAGGTTGGTTCGCATGCGTAATCAGGTTTGACCAACAGATACACCCATCGTCATTTTCAAAAAAAAAAAAGATACACCCATCGTCTTCCTTGTAAATAAATACCGATCGAGTACAAAATGTCCTACTCCTACTCTGCTAGACCCAATCCCATTGTACTACACCGTAATTTTTGTTGCCTTGATCCCCAAAAACCCACGTGTACGATCCACAGCCCTGTACCAGTACGCACACCGGCCCGCCGGGCCCACCGCCACCGTCGCGATTTGCGACGTCTCACTGCGGTCGATGAATATAGGCTGATGATGAGGACTCGGGATTAGCCACGGCTCTCCTCCCCCCCTGTTCTGCGCCCGAACCACCACCGCCTCCCTCCGCCGCAATCCCCATACCAACCCGCGCCCAGATGGCCGAGACGGCGGCGGCGGCGGCGGCGACGGCCGAGGGGATCGACCCGCGCAGCGGCTACTGCGCGGCGACGCGCACCTTCCACAGCCTCCGCTCCGCCTCGGCGGGCGCGCTGCCGCCGGAGTCGCTCCCGGTCACGGCCGCGGCCTACGCCTTCTCGCTGCTCGCCTCCCCGCTCCCCGACCGCCCCGCGCTCGTCGACGCCGCCACCGGCATTGCCGTCTCCTACCCGTCCTTCCTCGCCGCCGTCCGCTCCCTCGCGGGCGGCCTCTGGTCCTCCCTCGGCCTCCGCCCCGGGGACGTCGCCCTCGTCGTCGCGCCCTCGCGCCTCGACGTCCCCGTGCTCCACTTCGCGCTCATGTCCATCGGCGCCGTCGTGTCCCCCGCCAACCCGGCATCCACCCCCGAGGAGTACGCCCACCAGGTCGCCCTCTCCCGCCCCGTCGTCGCCTTCGCCGCCCCCGAGGTCGCCGCCAAGCTGCCGGCCCACGTCAGGTGCGTCGTCCTCGGGTCCGATGCGTACAGGAGCCTGGCGTCTGCCGGCGCGGGGTCCGCTCCTCCGCCGGTGGCGGTGAAGCAGTCGGACACTGCGGCCGTGCTCTACTCCTCCGGCACGACGGGGCGTGTGAAGGCCGTCGCCATCACGCACCGCAACCTCATCGCGCTGATCTGCGGGCACGCCGAGAACCGGGAGAGGGTGGCGGCGGAGGCCACCGAGGCGGGCGAGGAGCCGCCGCCGCCGGCCGTCACGCTGCTGCCGCTCCCCCTGTTCCACGTCTTCGGGTTCATGATGGTCCTTCGCTCCGTGTCCATGGGGGAGACGGCCGTGCTCATGGAGCGGTTCGACTTCGGCGCCGCGCTGCGCGCCATAGAGCGGTACCGCGCCACGCTGCTGCCCGCGGCGCCGCCCGTCCTGGTGGCCATGATCAAGTCGGAGGAGGCGCGCCGCCGCGACCTCTCCTCGCTCCTCGTCATCGGCGTCGGCGGCGCGCCCCTCGGCCGCGAGGTCGCCGAGCGCTTCGTCGCCGTATTCCCCAACGTCCAGATTGTTCAGGTTAAGCAACAGATTCCATGCAGGATGCAGAATATTACTTCTGAATCTTCCATGCGCTTTGAAGATTACCTTTTCTGATCTAGCGAACTCATGTCTGTACGATTCCATTTATTATATTACAGGGCTACGGATTGACGGAATCATCTGGCTCTGTGGCCTCGACGGTAGGGCCGGAGGAGTCCAAGGCGTACGGCTCCGTCGGCAAGCTGGCGTCGCACTTGCAGGCGAAGATAGTAGATCCGTCCACCGGCGAGGCGCTCGGGCCGGGCCAGCGCGGTGAGCTCTGGGTCAGGGGCCCACTCGTCATGAAAGGTGAGCACTCCGCAGCATGAACTGGGTCATTGCTCTGACCATTAAGCACGCGGTTGACCTTTGTCACTCACCGGATTAGATGGTGCCTTGATTTGTTTACTGCTAGTTGAAGTGCTTAGAGTGTGCACTTGAAAATTTAAATATGATTGCCTTGATAGCGATGTTGATTGCCTTGATGATTCGTCGCCTAAAACCTTTTACATATCTATCATTATGTCGTGGCTTGATTTTCTCTCTGTGCCGTGCTTGTTGTACCAGCATTTATCATGTGAAAGCTGTGTATGTCCATCACGTAGCAATGTGATGGTGATCTCAGATGCCTTTCTTTAGAGACATGCCTTTTTGTTAATGTGCGAGTGAGCATCATGGCTTGCCTGCCATGTGCTTCATGACGACTTTTTTTGTGTTGATTGATGTAGTTGCCGACATTTATCCAACAAGTGGTGGGCTAGTACCGAATTCAATAATTCTTCAACCCTGGCAGCAATGCAGGGATGCTCGTTCTCCTGCTTAATAGATTAGTCATGCCAGCGTGCCAGTGATATTCTGTTGGAACTTGTTAATTGAAATCATCTGTTAGAGCGGCGACATCTCTCATATCTGCTACCAGCCATACGCCCTACAGTTTGGTATGGAGAGTGACATTACAACTGATCTAGACACTTGACTGTGCTTGGCAGATTATAGCATCGTACCACTGTTGCTTTTGCCTTACTATTATTGGGCCCCCACAATATTAAGGTAGTTTAAATGAGTGCGGCTAATCTGCACCCGGGCTCATCTGCACCCACGCTTAGAAAAAAATTCAAAAAAAAATACTAGAAAAATTCAAAAAAAATACTAGAAAAATTCAAAAAATTCCAAATTTTTTTGTGGTGGTAGATAATTTGACGCGTGAGGTGCGCCCCAAAATTCAACTCATTTGAGCATCTGAGCAGCTCTCGGCAAAAAAGACAAAATCAGGGTCTGTAAAAATGTATTCTGTTCACGCACTGTTTTGACCCGATTTCTCTTTTTTGCCGAGAGCTGCTCAGATGTCCAAATGAGTTGAATTTTGGGGCGCACCTCACGCGTCAAATTATCTACCACCACAAAAAAATTTGGAATTTTTTGAATTTTTCTAGTATTTTTTTTGAATTTTTTGCTGAGAGGGAGCAGATGAGCCCGGGCACCGTTTTGAGTTTTCCAGTTTAAATAAGCTATGGAGACAAGAATCACAATACAAGCGATCTAAACATTGTTGCTTTTGCCTTATTGTTATTATCGGGGCCTCACTGACTCACCGGTGGTGTCTTTTTTCAGGTTATGTCGGTGACGACAAAGCAACTGCAGAAACAGTGGACTCAGAAGGCTGGCTGAAAACTGGTGATCTTTGCTACTTCAATGAAGATGGATTTCTCTACATTGTTGATCGTTTGAAGGAGTTGATAAAGTACAAAGGATACCAGGTACAGTTACATAATCGTTGGAGAATCTTGCCTCACAAGATTCTGTCTACATGATACTGATATATACATCTCATCTCAGGTGCCTCCAGCTGAACTAGAGCATATTTTAACATCACATCCTGGAATTGCTGATGCTGCAGTTATTGGGTAGGTACCTTTAGAACTGCAGTAAACTTGGTGAAAATTCTAATGAATTATATATTCCCGAAAATATGGTATGATGCTCTGTTCAGCATGTGGCAGTATATAAGATGCCCCCTCATATGCACTATGCAGATATCCAGATGAAGATGTTGGGCAACTGCCAATGGCTTTTATAGTGAGGCAACCAGGTTCCAACCTTACTGGGCAACAAGTCATGGATTACGTGGCTAAACATGTAAGTTTCTCTTCCTCATTATCCTAATCCTGCTTTCTACCAAATATAGTTCAGTGCTGAGTTAAAAGTGTCCGTCATAATCAGCTTTATTATACTTTTTGACAAGCAAGCTAAGCAATTGCAAATTGAGTTGGGTCTAGTAATGTTTTAGTATTGTTAATGACACTGTCTCTCTGCCTGTTAAGGTGTATTTAATATATTTTTTCTGGTGATGGGAACGACAACATTGAAATACAGTAGTATGCAACGTATAGTCGCAAAGCTATAGAGGACTGACTAGTGGTGGGATCACCAAATTGTATCACTGCGTGCCAAACGAAACCACGTGTCAACACATGAGCAAGCTTGTGCATTGTGTATCAATGCACCTTTATGTATGCACCATATGCTTTTGTCTCCTCGCTGCCATAATTTGGCGTTGTCTTCGCCTGTGAAACGCTATAAACTGTATGTAGGATCTAAACGTTTTTGTTGTTTGACAGGTTGCGCCCTACAAGAAAATCCGCCGAGTCGCCTTCGTCAATGCAATAACCAAATCACCTGCCGGAAAGATCTTGCGGCGGGAGCTTGTGCAGCAGGCCCTGTCGATGGGTGCCTCCAAGCTTTGAGATGTAATTCGCTGTGCAAATGTAGAAGGTTTTTTTGCTGTATATAAACTGGAGATATGACACTGTTCTTCGTCATCCATTGGCCACCCTGTTTCCATGTAAACACCGGGTTGCCCTTCGCGCGAAACAAATATTTTGGAGTGAGGGTTGGAAATAATCTGCTACCGATCAGTTCACTCGCTTGGTCTTATATGCCATTTTAACCTATGTTAAGCAGCAGGGTTTACCTTTTTGCAATCTGCTGGAAACGAGAGGTGCATGAAACAATCTTGATAATAAAATCTGGAAAATGCAGTTACTTGATTGTTTTGGCTCAATCGTTACCAATTTATGGTGTATATGGAGTACACGAATTAAAAAAAAGGGTGCATTGTGCATGCAATCGAAGCAAATCAAGCATGTTCTGGGAGCATTCAAATTTGGGAATTGCAATCGACTTTGGTCCACAGCCTGGTTTTAATCGTCTTCAACCTCCACTAACCCGTCCTCCTGCCGGTGGCCGCGCAGGCGTCACCTCGCAGCTCCACCCTCACCCAACAGCCACAACCACCGATCATGCCGATGCCCCAGTCATCCCGACACCATCAGTGGCGGAGGCAGGATTATGTACGGTTCACATGCAAATTATGAGAAACTCAACAAGCCCCTGCTCCGCTGCTGCACTCTATGCCTATATTTGTCACATCCCAAAATCTTAAATTAGGATGTGTTACATGTGTACATAGCATACATATGCATATCATGATTTCAGTGCATCTTGCTGGTCTTTGGAATTAATTTAACTATTCTAGAAGTCCTAATTATGTTCATTTTTCCCGAGTTCAAGGATTTGAATTGAAATGAATTTGGGCTAGTTCAAATTTAGTTTAAAACCAGGTTTAATAGAAAAAGGATAAGAAACAGAAAAGGAATAAAAAAGAAAGAAGCCCAGCCACTCCAACGGCCCAGCTCACCCGTGCGCGCGTTTAGAAAAAGAACATTTAGAAAAAGGAATAAGACTTGTCCCCAAAAAAGGAAAAAAAACAAGACGGTACTACACGCGTCCGCCCGCGCGAGATCCAACGGCCATCGCCGACGCATTTTATATACCTCTCTAACGCGCAGACCCCAGCTCCACCCCACCTCACGCACGAATGACCATGGCTGCAACCGTCGCCGCCCTACTTCCCATGACGCGCACATGCCGTCATGGACCCTCCTGACCCCTCCTATAAATCCCCTTCGACCCCATCTCTCGCTTCCCTAGCTCGCGCCCCCTATGCGCCGCCAGGCTGCTATGAACCTTGTTTGCGGCATCACCTTTGCCACCGTGCTCCGGCGAGCAATTCCGTCGCTGCTGTTGAGCTCCTGCCGCACTTTTGGTCACAAGATGATCCGCGCCACCTCTCTCTGCCCCTCTGACCCACCCATTTGTCCAAGAGCACACCAGATTGAGCAAACCCCGGACATTTTTCCAAGTACCGGAGCGTCGCCGCAACTACGACGAGCCAACACCGCTAGAAGACGAGCTTGACGACGACAAGGCCACCCCCCGAGTCCACCATGACGAGTTGAACTCTGATGACCCCTTCCCGAGCTCCAACGACCAACGGAAGTGCCGCAACCATCGAGCCTGAGTCACTCATCACCGCCGTCTTCATTTCTGGCGACCTAGTGCCACCCGGTGAGCCCCTTTTGAATCTACTTGTCCCATCTTGATCTAACGATTTAGAATAGATCACCTAAACTCGTCGAACTGGTACGCAACTAGAGCTGTCCATCTCAGAGCCAACACATCAAAATAAGAGCACTTAAACAAAATGGTATCGACCAATCCGAACACACCATGTGTCTCTGGTTTTAAATAAAGACAATTCGGCATAATTAGTCTCTTTCAAACTATCATGACTTTTTATTTGTAAGTCCAAATGGAGTGAAACATTTGCAGAATGATCCTTAGAAATCCCTTTCCACCAGAAAAAATTAAATTAACTTTTGAATAATTTAAATTCAAGTCAAAAAATGAAAATTTTAGCGTCTAAAATGCAAAGCATAACTCCAAATTGAATGATTCTTTGGAGATAGATCCTTATAACATGAACTTTGAAATAGGCTCACATAATTAAAATTTGAACAAACTAAAATTTAATTCAAATGAATTTGGAACAACAGCTGAAAAGTGCTGGAATGGCAACCATTTTTTCTACCATGGCATAGTTTTCAGAAATGCTGCCATGGCAAAGGTTTTGGAACCCAATTCAAATTGTCATTTGAGTTGATAATAAATTTGATCTTAGATTCCAAATTTAACAAAAATAATTGCTTTGAAGTTCAAAACACACTCTGGGACTAGTTTGACCCAAGTTTACTTTACGAACTTTAAACCTATTTCAATTAGAAACCCAAACCCAACTTGAACATATAATCTAAACTACAAATCAAAACCAAATGACTCCTTTTAGAAATCGATTCACAAGTCAACCTTGACCTATTTTGCATTCATTTGAAACCAAACCAAACTTTTCAAATTTCAAATCTAATACAATTCAATCCAAACCAAGTTTGAACGACGACTTCAAATCCATTTGAATTCCAACTTAAACCTTGAATATGGATTAAAAGGTTGGAACCAAAATGAACCAAACCAATGCAAATTTAAATATGAATTTCAAAATTGAACTAAACTTCATTTGTACTTAATCCATGACGTATACACCAAATGGGAATGGTCCATTCACACTTGAACCAAACACCAAATGGGAATGTGAACAAGTATTAATATTTTTTTGTACCGAGCATGTATCAAGTGGGTTGTGCGGGTGAGGGAGTCCTGGATTAGGGGGTGTCCGAATAGCCGGACTACCATCATCAGCCGAACTATCGTCGGCCGGACTATCATCATCGACCGGACTCCAAGACTATGAAGATACAAGATTGAAGACTTCGTCCCGTGTCCGGATGGGACTTTCTTTGGCGTGGAAGGCAAGCTTGGCGATACGGATACGTAGATCTCCTACCATTGTAACCGACTCTATGTAACCCTAGCCCTCTCCCGTGTCTATATAAACTGGATGGCTCTAGTCCGTAGGACACAACAACAACCATTACAACCATACCATAGGCTAGCTTCTAGGGTTTAGCCTCCTTGATCTCGTGGTAGATCCACTCTTGTAAACATCCACAATATCAATATCAATCAAGCAGGACGTAGGGTTTTACCTCCATCAAGAGGGCCCGAACCTGGGTAAAACATCGTGTCCCTTGTCTCCTGTTACCATCCGCCTAGACGCACAGTTCGGGACCCCCTACCCGAGATCCGCCGGTTTTGACACCGACATTGGTGCTTTCATTGAGAGTTCCTCTGTGTCGTCACCGATAGGCTTGATGGCCTCTTCAATCGACAACGACGCAGTCCTGGGTGAGACTTTTCTCCCCGGACAGATCTTCGTATTCGGCGGCTTCGCACTGCGGGCCAACTCACTTGGCCATCTGGAGCAGATCGAAAGCTACGCCCCTGGCCGTCAGGTCAGGTTTGGAAGCCTAAACTTCACGGCCGATATCTGCGGGGACTTGATCTTCGATGGATCTGAGCCACAGCTGAGCATGCCGCGTTGTCATGATGGGCACGACCTAACTCTGCCGCCGGACAGCACCTTGGAGGCCACACACGAATCCGCTCCGACCCATAGTCCGGAGCCGATCGCTCAGATCGAGGACAGATGGCTGGACACCGCCTCGGGAGCTGCAACTTCTACGGCGATGGAGCCGAACACTTATCTTGTCCCGCATAAAGCCCATGACTCCGAGGTGCCGGACCCCCTGCCGGACTCCGAACCTCCTGCGCCCCTGCTAGTCGAATCCGATTGGGCGCCGATCATGGAATTCACAGCTGCGGACACCTTTCAGCACTCACCCTTCGGCGATATCTTAAATTCGCTGAAGCATCTCTCATTATCCGGAGAGCCCTGGCCGAACTACGGCCAGGATGGTCGGGACGCGGACAATGAAGAAATTCAGAGCCCACCCACCACCCACTTCGTAGCCACCGTCGACGATCTAACCGATGTGCTAAACTACGACTCCGAAGACATCAACGGCATGGACGACGATGCCGGAGACGATCAAGAACCAGCGCCTACAGGGCACTGGAAGGCCACCTCGTCACATGACATACATATGGTGGACACCCCAAAGGGAAGCGATACCGAGGAACAACGGGACGCGGCAGAGGATAATCCCGCCGATAAACAACCAAAACGGCGACGTAGACGCCGCCCTAAGTCCCGCCTCGATCAAAGCAGCATTCCTAACGACCCAGCGATAGAGCAGGGCAAACCAGCGGACGACGAAGAAACAACCAAGCAACCATCCGAATAGGACGAACCGGATAATCAACCCCTTCACGGAGCAATCAACAGTCCGGACACACCACCGGAGCATAAGAACCTTCACAAAAGACTCGTCGCCACCGCAAGAAGTTTGAAGAAGGAAAAACGGAAGCTCAAAATAGCGGAAGACATCCTCAGAATGAAGTGGAGTAAAATACTCAAGACCGCAGACAAATATGGCAATGGCCATCAAACAAAGAGCTACCCGAAGCGCAAGCTGCTGCCAGAATTCGATGAGGAAGCCATAGAGCCCTCACAGTCAAAAAATAAAGAGGCCGCCTGGCCGGATAGACGGCCAGATGACAGGCCAAAAGCGACAAGCGGCGCCGCACACAAGCCGACTTATGATCCTGGGAAAACGGACGGCCCAACTAGGTCCATCTACGGGCCAAAAAAGAGGGCCCCAGGAAGTAACACAACACGACAAGTGTTCGAAGACAGCGGCACACCCAAATACAGGGGCGCCGCACACCCGCTATGTTTTACCGATGAGGTGCTGGATCATGAATTTCCAGCAGGGTTCAAACCCATAAACATAGAGGCATACAACGGCACAACAGACCCAGGAGTCTGGATAGAAGATTACATACTACACATACACATGGCTAGAGGAGATGATCTCCATGCCATAAA